AGCAATTGATTCGAATAGACGTATTGTACCGTACCGCATCATATTGTATTTCAAACTTTTATATCATTAGAATTTATATGTATACATATGTATATTCCTATAAACATGCGTCAGTTAATATAAGCCCCATTTCATCGAATTGTATTAAATATAACTGCATAAACAGTGTACAATCTTATACTAATTATAGTTGTCTGGTTCAACAGGTTTCTAAAGAAACTAACTACTGCCTAAGTCTTTTAAACTTGGGCTGTAGTAGTATCTGCAGAAACTGCCATGGTTGCTGGGGTTACTATATAATTTGCTCACGGAAGCACACACAAGTGTCAGTTAGATTTCAACAGTTGCACGAGCAACATTAGACCGAGCTCGAGACTCGTACGAGCAACAATGATAAGGGATCACGTTTCAAAATTCTTGTGCATGCTCCGGGGGTTCGATGCCCTCATTTCCTCACATACACGGGGTCTCTAACGTCTCCACCGGGGGCTCCGTGACCCCAAGCTTTCACCGCACAGGGTCTATGGCGCCTCCACCGGGGGCTCTGTGACCCCACGGTGTAACCCATGTGATCAATGGCGCCTCCGTCAGGGGCTCCGTGACCCCACGCTATAACCCACGTGATCTTTGGCGCCTCTGCCGGGGACTCCTCACAGCACAGGGTCTATGGCGCCTCCACCGGGGGTTCCGTGACCCCAAGCTTTCACCGCACAGGGTCTATGGCGCCTCCACCGGGGGCTCCGTGACCCCACGGTGTAACCCACGTGATCAATGGCGCCTCCGTCAGGGGCTCCGTGACCCCGCGCTATAACCCACGTGATCGTTGGCGTCTCATTTGGCAACAAACTTACGAAAGCTGTATGAAGCTTTGAAGATCGTTCGGAAGATTCGCAAGTTACAGAAGAGGGAAATATTTGCAATGGATAAATTGTATCATTATATAAGTAGAAATAATATAAATTTAAACCTACTTTTACCGAAGTAATTAAGAAATAATGGCGGAAAAACTTAATTTTTTGGTTAATTGATATTAGGAATAACGCATACGTATGATTTGACTGCCTTTTATTGAAAAAATCGTTCGAAAATATACAATTTACAATAGTATTTCTATAAATTTAACAATAATCGCCTTAAATACAACTTTCATATATGATTTTACAATATATTTATAATAATATTTGTATAGATTCAATAAAAGTGCCCTTAGATACTTATTTTACTTAAATCCTACTTATCTATATGATTCTACAATATACTTGTAATGATATTTATATAAATTCAGAAAAAGTAGACTTAGATAGTATTGAGGCTTATAAAATATTGTAACTTATATGCCGCAAATAATTACCTTCCCTTTAAATGGCAGACGGCCTGCGCGGTGTGAGCGTGGGTTCACGGAGCCCCCGGTGGTGGAGGCGCCGTAGACCTTGTGCTCTGATAGCGTGGGGTCACGGAGCCCCCGGTTGAGGCGACATTTATCACGTGGGGTGAGAGCGTGGGGTCGCGGAGCCCCCGGAGGAGGCGCTATAGAGCCTGCGCGGTGAGAGCGTGGGGTCACGGAGGCCCCGGTGGAGGCGCCATTGATCACGTGGGGCGTGAGAGGGGTTCATGGAGCACCCGGTGGAGGTGCTATAGACCCTGCACGGAGGCCGCGGTGGAGGCGCCATTGATACGTGGGGAGAGGGCGTGGGGTCGCGGAGCCCCCGGTGGGGGCGCCATAGAGCCTGCGCGGTCAGTTCGTGGGGTCACGGAGGCCCCGTAGGAGGCGACATAGACCCTGCGCGGTGAGAGCGTGGGGTCACGGAGCCCCCGGAGGACGCGCCACTGACCCCGTGTGGTGAGAACGGGTGGTCATAAAACCCACGGAGCTTGCATGAGAGATCCGGTGTGTGTGAGATGTATTTACCCTCACGAGTAAACTCGGCTACCGATAGGGGAAAAAGTGTTATAAAGGAAAGACCTCCTACCACTTGGTCTCGGAGTTATTGAAACTTATGCGAAATGAACATTCGATTTATCATTTATTTCAGTATTTGAAATAAATTTACCAAGTAGTAGGAGGCCCTAACCCCTACATTGCTTTTTTGCCTAGTGGAAGCCGAGGTTGCTCGCGTATGTACAAGTATAGTTTCAACGGTTTATAAATAAAGGTACACACATCTAAACTCAACGATAAATTTAGTAATAAAATTATTTACAAAACTTAAGACCGATAATTAAATATAAAAACTGAACATCTAAAATAATCAATAAATTATTAACAAACTTCAACATTCAAAATTAGCGCGCAAAACTACAAACAAGTCCCGAGACACATATTTATTTATCGTGTATATCTTATATTACGTATATTGTTTATAATTTATACATACGTTTATGTTTATATGTTTTATATTAAATATTTAAATAAATAGATAAAGTATAGCGTAGTATTTTATTCTCTTTCAACGCAGAAACAACTTTTGTGTTGGGTATCAAGGTTAGGAAAATATAATTCGATACAAGCAGGTATCGATACTTTTGTTTCGATACGGAATAAATATCGATACGATCATACAAAAGTATTTATGAGTAAAAGTATCGATACCTTGGTGTTATCGATTCAGCCCTAGACGCAAACGAATACCGGAAATGTTGCAGAGTCGATGACTGAATAGATATCCGGTGAAGAAGTACATACACGTGACCTCTAGTGTCATTGTTCATCTATAAAAGTGAAACGTCGTCGGGCGTGTCTACGAAATTCATTTTTGGCTGCTTGTTAGTGAACGAAGATCGAGTTTTATAAGTTTCGTTACAGTCTCACAATAGTGAATACTCCATAGTGAATTGTACGTCATTAGAAACAGTTCAGCCGCTTTAAAACGCGAACGACAACTGATTAACGTTTTATAACCAAGTTGTGCCTTCGACAATCCAGGCACTAGTGGCAGCATCTTTTGAGAACTGTCGAAAGCTTCTCTGATAAAGACTACCATCTTGTAACAGCTGGCAGAAGTTAGTTGACGTTGACCCAGAGGAGCGGGAAATATTCAAAAGCTCACAACTTAAAAATGCAAATTCGAGTTAAATACGGTTTATGAACAACTGGTTAATTAAGATAGACATACAAATATTTAAAAATGTACGAAAATCTGTTCAAGAATCCACTGTACCGTGTGTTCGTCTACGGTACTTTGAAGCGGGGTGAACCTAATCACAGCCTAATTTCGGATACAGCAAATGGTTACTCTAAATTTCTTGGACTTGGAAAAACCACCGTTCCTTACCCCTTAATAATAGCAACCAGATATAATATCCCATTTTTATTGAAGAAACCTGGATTTGGCCACGTAAGTATTACTCAATTAGTAAAACAGTTATACGCATTATTATCAATTTCACTAGGTTTTAGATAGGTGATGCTAGTTTCTCTACCTTGGCGTAGGTATTATTAAATATGATTGACGGCAATATTTAAAATTCAAGTATGTTTAAAGTACTAATCAGCTATCGTTTGAATTTTAATTAACATTTCAATTTTAAAGACTCAAATTCGTGCAGTCTTAACGTTGAATAGGAGATCCTTTATTCGACCATTACTATAAAGCACTGATACCTTTAGTTATTATTAATCCTACTTTAATTAGAATTGTTTATACTTGAGTAGCATGTGATTGGTGAAGTATACGACGTGGACACAAAAATGCTGAAGAAACTGGACGAACTAGAAGAACATCCTGCGTTCTACGAAAGATCCGAAACGGATGTCCTAATCGCTCCAGAGGCTAAAGTCAAGGCAAATGAGAACTTTGAAGAGGTGTTTATTTTCTTCAATATTCCATCGATTACTAGTCATATAACATACAATTATTATTTCATATTCATTATAAAAATTGTTCTTAGGTTGGAACAATGTTAAAAGTTTGGGTCTATTTTTTACCAAAGTTTAAAGCGTCTCTGTTGGATAGCCCCATGTACAGTTCGTACAGGAACGAGGGAAGCCATGGTTTAAAATACTGTGAGAAGTATGTTCGCGATTCCTCATACAATCACAGACTTGAAATTCAGTGATACTTACCTCAGAAAATAATTTGTTTCCAGTGAGGAGAGTACTATAAGGCCCGAAGATCTGCATTGACGAACGGTCTTTGCAGACTTTTCATTATACTCCGGTCGTATATGTATATGCTTGAACATTTGCTTTGTTATTCGTTATAGTCAATAAATCATTTTACGTCACACAAAATAGTTGGAACTGAATTCTTTGCACTTCGATACATCTACAATGATAACCGACATCGTTTTATCTAAATTATTTTTGTAGACTTTAGGACTGCAAACGATTAAATAGTATCATTCTGTTATTTTCATAGAAACGAACGACAATTCGCAGTCGATACTGTTTCCAAGTAGTTAATTAATGATCCTAAGAAATCGCTAGATTTGTATCTCAAACTCTAAGAGTTGTAAATGCCTCAACAATATACAAATCTTTTAAATAATAATACATTTTAGATAATCGGTTAAAAGGCGTTGCAGGATATACATCAATGTAACAGTTAAAAATTGCTTCGTATATTATGTATGTACATTTTCGGAACACGAAAATATATCTTGTAATAGTCATCCCCCGTACAAGCGTTAATGTACAGCGAGAAAGCATTGAATCCCGTGTATACAGATACTTGCAAAAATGTTTATTACTCGATTCTCACAATCAAAATCGTGAACATCGCGAGTCGTTGAAGGTGTACGAAATGAATAAAGAAGAATGTTACCAGAACATTTTCGTGTATGATTACTTCCGTTTTTTCATTTTCATTTATCATTTTATTAAGTTCATCGTTCGACACGCTGCACCCCACTCTTTCTTTCGCGCACTCTCTCGCTTTCTTTGTCACTCTATCCTTCTCTCTCTCTCTCTCTCTCTCTCTCCCTCTCTCAATCTCGGATAACAGTCGTGATAAAAATTATTTTATTTCAACTATTCTGTAACAAAAAGGCAGGCGAAGTCCACGTATCGTTCGAGAGGCACGCCGCCGCGTGATTATGTGTCTCGCCCCCGAATTCGATTACTATTTACGATCAGGTCTCGTCAAACCTTTGTCCTTTCACCACAACCCATATTCTTCGTTCCTGATTCCAAAGATCAGTCAACCAGTTCGTCCGTAGAAATGGGAACCGACATAAAAATTTCTGTTTTCTGTTTCATATATAGATTAATTTGAGCTGCATATATCATTCAACCCTTTTATTTTACCATGAGTGAACGAGTATCAGTGGTTTGTATAGCAAAAACGAACGAAATAATTGGCCAACCGAACGGTATAGTTCTTCACGAAATGTTCTACGTGGAAATGCCTGTAAAACGTTCCCGTCAATCCTACAGATAGAACAATAACTATTTTTTTCTTTTTGTTTTAATTCTCACTCGAGCATGTGCTCTCGTGCGTTCCTTCAGAGCTCACCGCGAGATCACCGACACGAATTGTGGGTGGTTCGCGAAATTAAAATGCTTTTTAAGGCAGTACGTGTAAGTTGTCCTAGGAAATTTATTATAAATAATCACATATTTTTCTTTCTTTCTTTTTATATCGTTCACTATACAAGGCTCCGTTTATTCCTCTACCTCGCTTCTGTGTAATATGGCTCGTGTTTCACTATGCTTTCTCGACCATTCTCTCTCACTCTCTCTCACTCTTTCTATCAATGCTTTCATTTATCTTCATTTTATTTTCAAAAATAACAGCGCTAGCACCCCGAGTCCCTGACCATACACAGGAAAACCCCTCCATTATTAAACTTCTATCGCTTCGTATCCCTCTTCTCGCGAAAGAAATTCCTAAATTAACAAAAATAATTAAACAAGCGTCAACAAAAGCCTACATTCGTCTTCCTTTTGTTTGTATTGTATATGAACGCGCGTGTCTTTCTTTCTCTCTCTGTTCTTTGCTTCCTTCTGTGTACCACTTTCGGTCTCCTCAGATTCCGTACGTTTTCTGATATATATGTATAAATACATACATA